TAGCCAGGCATAGGGGACACCCCTGTAATCCTAGCTACTTGGGAGGCTGAGGCAGGAGAATCACTTGAACCCGGGAGGCAGAGGTTGCAGGGAGATGGGATCATGCCTGTACTCCAGCTTGGGCAACAGAGCGAGACTCTGTCTCAAAAAAAAAAAAGAGAGAGATTTACTACTGGAATTTTGACTTACTTTCCTGCTTCCTGGTTTGGTTGTGTTTAGAAACCCTCAGATTCCACAGACCTTGCCTCTCCCAAGACTATGGGTAACAGGGCATCTATACCCCTCAAAGACATTCATGTGAATGGCCATCTCCCTGCTGCAGAAGAGATTTCAGGAAAGGCAACAGCAAATTGTTCTGTTTCTTCTGAGTGGGGAAATCCTTCAAGAAATACAGATGCTGAAAAGCCTTCAAAAGAAAATGAAAGCACCAAAGAGCCTTCTTTGCTACAGTATCTTTGTGTGCAGTCTCCCACAGGTAAGGGATATCATCATGTCTTAGAGTCCCTTGTGGCAGTCAGATCATGAATTGGATTTTTAAATTTTTGTCTGTATCACCTGACCAAAGCGGCTTATTGATGTGCCTGAGTCATTTTACTCTTAGCGCCTTTGTTTTCTCCATCTATAAATGGAGAAGCTGATTCTACTTTCACCAACTTCAGGAGTAATGGGAAAATAATTGAGGCAGATGATTAAAAAAAAAATACATTAAACATTATTTGGTGGAAAAGCACGGTAATTCAGCTGAATCTAGCATTGGTTTAGTATAACAGTATGAACCTGTTGGCCATTGTGTGCAGCTAGTGTTTTGACGTCTTGCACATCTAGAGGTACTGAGTATATAGCATCATGACCGGGTGCCAGGTCTGGAGTAAGAGGGCTTGACATTTAAAACCACTTATTATTGCGTGAACTTAAGTATTCTTCATCCTCATTGGTTAAACAGCAGTAATAATGGCACCTGCTTCATATAGATGCTGTGAAAATTGAGTTAAATTTAATAAGTTAATACATCTAAAGCACTTAGAATAATAGTACCTGGCACTTAATAAGACTCAATAAATGCTGTTACTATTTTGAATTAAAGCCGAAATACAGTAGACACCAGATTTTAAAAATATGTACTTTGTACATAAAGCTACTCTTGATGCAAAGATACCTAAATTGATTTTCCTCAATTCCTTGTTGGCTTAAGCCTAACCTGCTAGAACAGGTTAGGTTAGTATTTATGATTATTCACTTATCTAGAAAAAAATTCTTTATTCCTTTAGTAAGTATCTTTTAGTGCTTTCTCTAAGCACTGAATATTGGGGATACACGGGTGAACAAAAATAGATTCAGCCCCTGCTGAATGAAAATTACAGCCCAGCACAGGGATTTTTAACTTTTTCTGTGCCATGGATCTTTTGGCACTCTGGTGAAGGCCATGGATTCCTCCTCAGAATGTTTATGGATACATAGAATTAAATACATGGGATTACAAAGGAAGCCAATTATATTGAATGCAACTAGAAAAACCATTTTTAAAATTACTGATAGTAATAAAAAGATCTGGCAGCAAGCCCAATACTGTCAAAATTTCCAAGTTGTGATGAGCTTGACAGTATATTAAGAAATCTGTAATAGCTTTAATGTAATTTTCACATGTCTGTACTATTTCCTAGTGACAAAGTCAAGGTACTGTTAAAATTGTTGATTTGTTGCCTGTGATAATTGAGGGAAATAAAAATTTTCAATTAGGAACTTATGGAGATATTTTGGCCAGGCACAGTGACTCATGCCTGTAATCTCAGCACTTTGGGAGGCTGAGGTGGGAAGATCACTGGAGCCCAGGAGTTTTAGACCAGCCAGGCAACATAGGAAGACCCTGTGTCTACAAAAAATAAAAAAAAAAAATTAGCGGGTGTGGTGGTGTGCTTGTGGTCCCAGCTACTCTGCAGGCTGAAATGGGACAACTGCTTGAGCCCAGGAGGTTGAGGCTGTAGTAAGCCATGATTACACCACTGCACTCCAGCCTGAGTAACAGAGCAAAACTGTGTCTCAAAACAAAACAAAAAATAATAATAAGTAAATAAATAAAAATAAAGATGTAATCTTTCCCATCCAAGCTTTTTGCCTTCTCAGTTTGGGTTCAGTGGAACTCACGTTAAAAATTTCACAGGCATCAGATAAATGTGGGATTACAATCCTGGCCACAGCTGTGAAGGAGCAGGGTGTGGGCTGTTTGGCCTGGTCAGCTGGGGGAAGGCCTCATCATTCTTTGATTTATTGTGGACTCCCGTTTGAAAGGGCCATGACAAATGTGAGCTTGAATGGTATCCTCATGATGACATATATTGATTTTCACCTGTTCTGCTTTTCTTTCAGGATTAAATGGTTTCAATGTACTTTTATCTGGCAGTCACACCCCCCCTACTGTGGGCCCGTCCTCAGGTCAGCTGCCGTCTTTCAGTGTCCCTTGCATGGTCTTACCATCTCCATCTCTGGGCCCTTTTCCTGTTCTCTATTCTCCTGCAATGCCGGGCCCAGTTTCTTCTACTCTTGGTGCTCTCCCAAACACAGGACCTGTGAATTTCAGCCTGCCTGGCCTTGGATCAATAGCCCAGCTTCTCGTCGGCCCCACAGCTGTGGTTAATCCAAAGTCGTCCGCACTCCCTTCTGCAGACCCTCAGCTTCAGGGTCAGCCCTCACTAAACCTGAGTCCAGTGATGTCAAGGTCACACAGTGTCGTCCAACCCGAGTCCCCCGTTTACATGGGACATCCAGTCTCAGTAGTAAAATTACATCAGGTGAGGCCTGAAGTTTCCTGAAGACACTGTCATTCTGGGAAGGGGTATGTCTGTGTTTAACTAGCTTTCATTTTAGCCACATGACTGCCGGACAGAGGCACTAGGTCAGGCTCCACCTGGTTTCCATTGTAGACCTTGAGTTATCTGCTCCTTTTATAAAGCACTGAGACATGAGGTGAGAAATCCTGTGCTTTAAAGACAAAAATGTATGTTTTTAGGTGTCTTTCTGTTTCTTTTAATTAGAGGGACCTGTTTTAGGCATAGTTTGGGGGGATTTTTGAGGAATGCTAAATAGTTTCATTATTTTGATGATCTTCAAGCTTTTATTTCACTAGATCAATAAAAGAAGCCACCCTAAATTTTAATTATACAGCTATAAAAACAATCAAAAGAAACAGAAGTCTTGATAGTAACTCAGAGATGCTTAGCCTGTCAGTCATTTCTTAAGATGTGATGTTTAGAGACTGTGTGTGTATAATGTCTGTATGTATATACATCTATACATATTCAGAAAACATAAAAATATACATAAAGATATATTATCGATATAAGTCAATGAGTCTATATTTGTCCCCCAACCTCCATTTGTGGTTCAGTCAAATATTTGTTGAATTCCTATTATACATTAGGTTGTTCACAGTGATTACTTACTCTCCCAGACAAAGAATTATGTTTAGCCAAAAAATATTTTAGACAAGTTATTCAGAGCCTCAAAAGTTTGCAAGACATTGAAATGAACATGTTAGGTTTAAAACAAGATGATTATAGCATAACATAGAATTTTATATCACCATGTGCCAGGCACCAATCTAGGCAATGAAGACAGAGCCGTGAACAGGGTAATGGTCCCTGCCATTTTAGGGCACATTAAGGGAATAAATATTTAACATTTAACATTAGGGGATAAATATTAGCAAGTAAAGAGAAAGAGCCAATACACAAACCATGTTGGCCTCACATGCTCTAAAGTGCTTTACAATTATTGTCTTATTTAATTCCTACAACCTTGTGAAGTCAGTACTTTTACCATCCCCGCTGGATGGAGGAAGAAACTGAGGGACAGATTGCCTTGTCAACGGTCGTAGAGCCCAGCCCCCGGCTCTAGATGCCACACTTGTAACCTCTTTGGTAGGCTGCCTTTCTGCACCCAGAACAAATGTGAATTTAATTTTCAGTTGTGGTAAGCAGGGGAGACAAACGGCATGAGTATGATAGGAAAGCAAAGGAGGAACGCCTGCCTTGGGATCCTAACACACAGGTCAAGAAAGGGCTGCCTTTCTCCTCAGGGATCAGAAACAATGTGACTTCACTTCTGCTTTTACTTTTTTCTTTTTTCAGTCACCAGTTCCAGTGACCCCCAAGAGCATCGAACGCACACATCGTGAGACATTTTTCAAGACACCCGGCAGCCTTGGAGACCCTGTCCTGAAGAGAAGAGAAAGGAACCAGTCACGAAACACCAGCTCGGCCCAGAGGAGACTGGAAATCCCCAGCGGCGGGGCTGACTGACCTGCTGCTTTGCCAGGTCGGGGAGGGATCAAACGCCCTGAGAGTCCCTCCTCTCTCTTGCATCCACACTTCTGTTAACTTCCCACCATCATCAATCATCTGATTTCCTGAAAGTAATTAATTGTGCATTTAATACCAGTTAGAGTTCCGACTCTCTGCATGGTGTCACAGTGAAAGCGCCGACTGACTTGAATGGTTTTGATTCAAGAATCATCTTATTGCTGGAAGTAGATCTGAATAGGCTACCGGAGCCTTGTGGTTTTTCTAAAGAGGGGCGCTGTCTAGCACTTAACTAGGGTAAGCATTCTTAACATGTATTTCCACTTACCCTGAGTAAATCTGTGGTGAGAGAAGCTTCCTTTCTGCAGTTTAAAAAAGCTACTGCTTCCTTAGGCTTTATCAGGAAGCCACCTTCAGTTGTGAATCCTATGGTATTATTTATTTTGTTCCTGAAATGGGATTTAGTGCAAAAAGTTTACAACTACAGTCTTTAACACATTTTTTTTCAGGGTATGACGACTTGAATGTTTGTACTTTTATTCTATAATTTGCCCTGCACTTATTCTACAACTTAGTAATAATGTGGATAAATGTATCTACATGACACATGTCAAGACCAAAATAACTGTGAATGACACACCTTGCTGTAAATGAACTGTGCTAACCCTGACTGTGGGCATGAGAACAAAGATGAACTCTAGAACTCTAGCAGCCTAACTGCTGCTTCTCAAATAACTGTGTGAACAGTGAGATATTACTGTTTGTTTCTAAAAATCCTACTGTGCCCAGTTTCCTCCACTACATGCCCTGCGTTTTTTATTTAAATGTTTAGCTGTAGAGCTATCAGATATGGATGTCTTCTAACAATCGCTGTTTGTAAAAATCAGGATGGTAGAAAGTGATTACATGGGAAATTGGAACCTGGATGAGACCTTTTTGTTGAATTCTGAAGAGTAATTATGTGAAAATTGATATAGGGCAAGAGATGATTCTTTTGTTTTTCTTCTACTTCATGTGCGGAAGAGTAAGAGGGAAAATGGACATACGTTTCATAACCAAGGGTATTCAAACCGTAGTTAGATGGTAACTCTGAAAAATAAGTATGGTGAGCACAGGGGTTGGTTGTTCTAGCATGAATACAATTTTGGAAACTGTTATGCAATTGCCCTTTTTTAACCCACATTACTTTAGGGGTGCATTAAGTAGCCAAACTATACTAGTTCTTTGTATTCCTAGACTTGCTGATATTTACCTCTCTCTTGTCTCTTCAGAGAACAAGGGAGCCATTCTTTCCCTCCTACTTTCCTTCATTCCCTCTTCCTTCCCTCCTTCCTACTTCTTTTCTTCCTTCCTTCTTCCTCTCTTAAAACTTCTACCTTAGATGTAGAATCCTGGTGTAGGGTTTTATTTTATTTTTATTTTTTGACCCAATAAAATGTTATATGAAAGAATAAAAATATTAATTTAAGAGACTCTGGGAGTCTGAATAAAGTAGCTTTATATTAACTACAGGATAATATTAGCCTTATTACCCCCACAAGATTTTTTTAAACTTGAGGTAGGTAGCTACATTAAATAAATTTGCTACTTATATAAAAATTTTTATCAACACTAAACTTTTAAAGTTTACAAGATTTTTTTTTTCCTTTTTTACAGTCTTCTATAGAGTTAGGTTAAAAATGTGGTTTTTAACCACATCAACAATTGCATGGTACTGATGATCCTGAACTAAAACTGATGGGTTCTCTATCAATCAAAACAAATAAAAATATACCTTTTTCAGGTTTCAATCTGTGCAGGGTGTATGCATTTTAACTCTCCCATGCTTAAGAACTTCCACAAAATATTTCATGGAGAGGTCTGCATTTAGATGGAAACACAAATTACTTTTCCCCTCACTGTTCCTGAATGCTGTATACTTGTTTTAACATTTTTGCTATTTTTTTTATTCTGATCATGATATAACCATCTTAACCTCAGAATTCATATTTCTTGAGGGGTGTTAAGAAGCAGTCCCATTGGTGAGGATATTATGACTTGGTGACCATACTTAGGAATAGAAAACCAAGCACAATTGCTTCTGTATTCAGTATCCACTTAATGTGGCTTTATATGTAAAAATAATAATGCAGTGGTTGTCAGGAAAATGAATCTTACAGAACAACTGGTGGAATTGAAGCTGCTGCGCTAGAGTTGGATATTTTGGGTAGTGAAGAAGCAATGGCAATCTTGAGTCTATTATTGTATAACTTAGTAAAAGAAAAAAATAATTGGTGGTGGTCCTACTAAGAGAATGCAGCTTTTTTGAGTTGTCACAGAGGCTGTGTGTGCCCTACACTGACCAGGGTTTGTAAAACCCTTTCATTCTGGTACAAGAGTCGGGGGTATAACTTTTATACTTGAATCTACCTACCAAGTTTACATTTCTCAATTCCTTTTTGTAAGGTGCTACTTCTGTATTTAAATAACTTTCTTTTAACGTAAAGCTGCTTTCTGCTTATCTTATTGCACTGCTAGTTGTATGTAGGTATTAATTTTATTGCTGCTTACTGCTTTTGTTTTCTTATTATTTAGCTCTGCTCTTTTTCCTAATGGCTATATTATGTATAGCTATTTACTTGTAACTGTACTACATGTAAACTGATTTTTTTGTTCTGATTCTTTTCTAATATTTTTAGGAAAATATTAAGCTTTATAAAATAGCAATAAAAAATAATTCATTTAAGAAGAGATGGTGGTTGTATTTTTGATAGGCTTTTTTTGCATACTGTTTTGAGTAAAACCATTAACAGCTACAACATAGCCAACCAGGCCCTCATAAATGTAAGTCAGATCTTTTTGCTGACACCACCCCGTGGTTACTAAATGCTGAAACTTACTGCATCAGAATTTCATGGGAACTTGCAGGGATTAAGGTACTGTGTAATTGAGCTTCTGATTTCTACTAAGTCCCAATCTCTGTAGGTTTGGAGCTTCCAGATGATTCTGATGTTTATCCAATCTAGGAATCACAGGTAAATGCAGACCACCCCTCAACTTCTTGTGGCATCCATTAAGTCAAATGCTTCTCAGTGTAGCTAATGCCCACCTTTCACTGAAAGCCAATTTCTATTGTTAGCCCTCACTTTTAAATTGACCTGCAAGCAGACTTAATCTGATGTCCCCTAGCTCTTTATGTCCCCGGAGTGATCTATGTTGCACTGTTGTCGGACACCCCTGCTAAATTCTGAGGTGACACTTGGAGATGTTTGAGCTGATTCACATGGAGAATTCTTCAAAGGCCTCATCTTGGGAGCATTTGCCTGAACTGTGATGCAAGCAATACATATTCTTCCAGCTGCAGCTCTCCCTCTGCTGCTGGTTCTCCTGCCGTCCATTCCACACAGACCCTTGGGCAGGATTTTGAATGGTCCTAGTCTGGCCCCGATGGGGTTAAGTGAATCATGGCAGTGGTTTCCCCCATACTGTACTCATGGTAGAGAATAAGTTTCATGAAATCTGATGGTCTTTTAAGAGGAAACCCCTTTCACTTGGCTCTCATCCCCTTTGGCTGCTGCCGTGTAAGACGTGCCTTTCACCTTCTGCCATGATTGTGAGGCCTCCCCAGACACATGGAACTGTGAGTCCATTCAACCTCTTTTTCCTTTGTAAATTATCCAGTCTCAGGTTCATCTTTATCAGCAGCATGAGAATGGACTAATACAGGCCCTATCTCTTATCAGCCACATCCAGTGATCTTTACCTTGATTCTAGGAGAGAAAAGCCAGCCAAACACACGGGCTTCTCCCTCCCTCCACTGCCAAAGCTGCTGGCCCACTCCCTTAGGTCCCCTAGGTGAGTCAGACACCAGAGCATACCTCTCACTGCAGGAAAGAGCTGAGAGAGAAGCATCACCCTGAACACCTCCCCTTATTGGCTCGTAAGTGGCAGAAACGAAGAATTACAGCATAACTTCAAAGAGATCCTCACTATATCCATTTCTTTTTCCATCCCTTCAACCCTTTCACAGACTTGTAGGTGAACGCATTCAATACTTGGTTCACTAGTTTTGTAAAACTTCCTCCATCAATCCTGCAGAGTCCAACACCTTTGGAATGCAGCATTTCCTGTGACTAGGTGCTGTAGCCAAGCTTCCCATTCAATCTCCTGTTACAATAGTTACAAGCTGCCATTGTCCAGGATTTGCAGTTACGGCACTCCATATTTCACACTTATCAGAGTAACTTTTGACAGCTATCGATTTGTTTTTAGTGTGAAAATCAGTTTGATTAATTCGATGTCCTTTTCTACCCGAAAATGCTTCTGAAATTAATAAATCATACCCAAAGCTAAAATTATTTTCAGATTTTCATTCTCTTACATCAAAATCCTCTTTTTGTAACTAACCCACTGGTAGTTTTCAATTTGACTGTCTCTTCTATTAATGTAGAAACGTCCAGTCTTGCCCCCACTGTGCTCTGAAGAACTCAATATTCTTAATATTAAGATATTAACTCAATATTCTTCACAGTAAGAATCAAATAAGTGGATAATACTGGTAAAACAGGTTTTTTTTACTGTAAGATTAGAGACATAAACTTATAAGAGGAAATATACATTCAAGTTTTTTAACTGGTTTGATTATGAGACCATTTTTTCTTAGACTGTCTTACAAGCAGCAGAAGATACTCCAAGAAGCAAAGAATCCCGTAAGCAACCCCTAAAATTTACTTACTCTTCACTGAAAAGAAAAACAATATTAGCTTCGTAAGGGCAGAGCCCCTAGGTGACTTATATCCATATTCACCATACCCACCACAAAATGTGTACCCAATACAAAGTTGGGGGGAAGAATACGGGATGGATGAGTTAGCACAAACATTGTTTTTTAAAAACCTTAGAGGGCTCCTTCATTGCACGGTTCTGTGTACATAGCTTGTTTGTTTTGTTTGTTTTTGTTGATTTGTTTTAGTTTAGAATGGCCTCCACAGCATCACCAATGTTCATAAAACAAAATTAATCATGATAATTATGCATTTAAACTTTTTTTGAGATGGAGTCTCACTTTA